CTTTCTTCCTTTTTTTCTCTTTCTTCCCGCCCCCACATCCCCACCCCCAACCCCCCAGTCTCCAAAAATCCGATTGTGTTTTCTTCAAGGATTGGGACTGGATTTTCTGATTGCGGTTATTTCCATGTTTCTAGGTTTGTGTGATTTTGCTAAAATGCATCACCAACAGCGAATGGCTGCCTTAGGGACGGACAAAGAGCTGAGTGATTTACTGGATTTCAGTGCGGTAAGAAAGAACGGTGGAAACTAACAACAGCTGTGGAAAAAAAAAAAAAACAACAAAACCCCAAAACAAAAACCCCAAACACTTCAGCTAGAAACCAATAGTACTTTAAAGGACAGGAATGATTTTTAATTGGCAGAATCCTTGGTCAATATGAAGGTCTATTTGACAAGTTTTAAACTCGTTTTGGGGTGTGATGGACGATTCAGGCTTTTTTTAGAATCGAATTACTTGCCTTGAATTCCTTACCCACCAGTTCCCCCAAATAATGGAATATCACCCCAGTGGACAGGAAAAATAGGCACCCCTAAAACTGCAAACCACCACTAAAACTTGGCCACATATGAACACTGAGAGTACCAATACTCCATGCACTACTCCTTGTCTTATTTATTTTTCTCTAGAAATGGAAAACAGAAAATAGATCCAGTAGTGTCTTTAAAGTTTTAAACTGATGATGCTGTGGATTGGTAGGACCTGTAGTTCTCCTAGTTACCTCTTTTCCTGGGATTCTGAAAACTCCTATGTATGTGCTGAGCATACATTCTTTAGAACCCTTTGGACTATTTTTGTAAATTTCATAGTCCTGAGATCAGCACAAAGAGGAACTTACACACTTGTGGAGTTTTACTGTACTTGGTCCTTCTCCATCCCCTCTGCTTCCCTTTCCTAACCCAAGTTCCCAACATGTCAGGGGAATGAATTCGATTTTAATGCCAGATGAGTTTGGTATAAGATGCATTTGTAAAGCAAAATAAAAAGAATCCACAAAACACACAAATAAAATCCAAACCGCCTTCTAAGTGGGGCTCTTTCATGTTGCTGCTGCTGCTGCTGCTGCTGCTGCTGCTGCCGCCGCCACTGCTACCACTGCTGCTCCTCTTGTAGACCTTCTTTTGGAGAAATGGCTTTCGGAAGTTTTGCCAGGAAACGTAGCCGTAGGCAGCTTTGCAGCCCCCTTTCTGCTTGCTGCACTTTCTCCATTCGTTTCTTTGCTTTTCGCAGGCTCTTGACTCAGGGAAGGTGTGCATTATCCACTAGATACGTGGAAAAGAGGGAAACCAATTAGGGTCGAAATAAATGCTGGAGAGAGGGAGTGAAAGAGAGTGAGAGTGAGAGAGACAGAGAGAGAAAGAGAGAGAGAGAGAGAGAGAGAGAGAGAGAGAGATGCTTCAAATTGCTCTCATGTTAGAGACGAAATGAGAATTTAGTGCAGGTGGCACTTTTATTTTTATTTGGGTTCACATATGACAGGCAAATCCTGTACGGGATGGAAATGGACATTGCCACGTTTATGGCCAAGGTTTTCAGTATAAAACAAACAACTTTTTTTTTTTTTTCTCCTTTGTCAAACTAGTGTTTTCTAGAAAGGCTGCTACCCTGCAACCTGAATCTTGGTAACATGGGGACAGTGTGTGTTCAGAGGGTAGCAGTACTGCTTAGAGATAGTGTGCCCGAGGAAAAAGAAAGAACAGTGGTAATGAGGAGGGGATTTTGAAAGGTTGTGCCTGTTTTAGCTTTAAGTTGGCTGGTGATGTATTTTACTAAATAAACCCTTAGCATAATCTCTGAGTTATTTGGTAAGAGTATGAAAGATTTTTGATGAACTCTCAAGGCACAGTGTCTTCTTATTAACTGTAATATTTCTTTGTTTCTTTTTAGATGTTTTCACCTCCTGTGAGCAGTGGGAAAAATGGACCAACTTCTTTGGCGAGTGGACATTTCACTGGCTCAAGTATGTAAATTCTTTTCTTAGTGTGAAGTTAAATGTTCCTAGCTGTTTATTTACTCATTGCATATTTTTGGCTCTGTTGAAGTGTTCTGAAAAAAGTCATTGAATTGTTGTCTGTAATGATATGGTTATCTCATTATCCATCAGTAATATAACTTACACAAAATGTTATTTTTTGCAATTAAAATTGGACCTTTTTTTTTAAAGTCAAGAAAGTGGTCTTAAAATTCCGTCACTCAATTACAAGTGATTTTCTAATATAGTTCTAATCAAACACATGAAGATAATGCCAGTGTTGACATGGGGAATACATTAATGTTCCTTATTTGAAAATAGAGGGGGAAAAATCTAACTTTCATAAAAAGGGGAAATCCCTTGTAAATAATATCAGTTATTAGGTACTGTGTACAATTAACCCTTTTAAAGCAACGAGCACTTAATTTTGCAGATGAATGCTGCCTAGTAAACCGTAGCTGTAAATAGCCTCTTGCTAAGCTGAGAAGCTAAATATGAATTCATTTCTACTTAAAATATCTTTTTTGATGCTTTGGCTGGTTCTTTTCCCTCATCATTTACTTTTGCAAAGAATTTTTGCTATATTTAAAGTTGCAAATTTGGGAGGACTTTTAACATTTTGTAAATGAAAGATCTTTGGGTGATGCTTAAAAAAAAACGATAGCGGTATTCACAAAGGAATCTGTGCACAATGATTATCTGGCATCTAAGGAGTTTTTAGTAGGGACTGTTTGAATGTCTCTTACTAAAAGTGAAGACTGAAAACATGATATTCATATAAGATGTATTTTTTTTGTTGTTCAATGAATTTTAAATAAGGAGTCATACATTGTTGCCTGCTATCCTTTAATTCCAAGGCTTAAATCCATTTATGCCTGTTAAACAGCTGCAGTATTTTAGGAGTTCTGGCAATGGTATATAACAGTACATTAGGCAGAGTACTATTCTTAAGTCAGACTGGTAAATGTTGACATATTTGAGTCTGTAAGATGCCAGTGGAGTTGTCTATCAACTATAAATATAATTTCACATCTCTTAATTTTCATCTGGTGCAATAGCAATGAAAGAAATCTGTTCACCTAGATAAATTGTGTAATTGGTATATTTTTGTGCAATAAATTGAAAGCTTTTAAAAGTTGCTCATTTTGAAATATGTTACTTCTACTGACCCCTATAAGTCTAGGGAAATTTTGTCTCTAAGTTGATTTTTATATGAGATACTTCCTATAGTTATATTTTTGGGTCCTCTTTGATTAAAAGTACTGTTGAAAATGTGTTGGTGCTTTACTCTTCTTAGACTCTAATATTTTCTATCTGAGGACATATTTTTTTTTATTTGTTTGTTGCATTGCTATTGCATTTCTGTTTCTATATGGTGTTCTCTTTATAACTTTTAAGACAGAAAATATTAATATGAATGTTTGAAGCAAAGATGAGTACAATGAGTACAAGTGTTTAGATTGGTTTTTCATGTTAGGCACTGTCAAAACAGTAACTAACCTTATCTCTGACAGTAATTTTCTTAATGTTTTACTTAAGAAATGTGTTTTTAGCTTAAATCTGAAAGTAGATGTCAGACAGACATAGAGATGGACTACTTTCAAGTCATTGTGAAATAACTTGCTTCCACTGTTGTAAAGATGGACACATTTGGAATGACTTAAATGTATTACTTTAGATATGGTTTAATAAATGGAGGTGAATTAGAGGTATGACATATACTAGACAACTGTGTACATGGACCATTTTATATACACATATTTAAATAAGGTCCTTGCAGTAATGTTTAAGTGTTCATAGAGAGTATGGGATAAATAAATTGAATATATATTAATGTATTTTGGTAAGTAATCACATATCAAAACTTATACAGTTCTTAAGACGATGATGTGTGTGTACATAGATATGTTTGCTTGTGTGTGTGTTTATGCATACATAAACATAAGAGAGAGATTTTGTCCTTACTGAGCCATGTTACAGTATTTCTAATGACTGTGAAGTAGATATCCAATGATTATTTTCAAGGTGTTGAACTTAACTTACTTTGTTTCAGCAGTGTAGTTTTTAGGACCAGATGTTTACTTGTAAGGGTAGAAAGTTATTGACTCTTTTATTCTGCCTGTCTGATTGAAAATGCAGGGTGTTCATTCAGTGCTGCATGATGGTGACTGTAGCATATAGGATGCAGATTGGAATGTTTATTTTCCCCATCTATGAAGACATATTGGAACACAGGGTTAGTGAAGAAGATGACTTATATTCTACTCAATAAAAGATAAATCTTTCTGAAGCATAACAAATTTTTTTAAAAGTCACAAAGCTGCACTTTGCCCTTTAACTGAAAGGATGAACTAGGAAACTTTGGGCAGAGAAATAATTTTCTGAAGTTACTTCAAGTTAATATCCATTGTCCTGAGTGAACTCAGATGTCAGTTTCATGAGTAGCTTTGAAACTTGGATCCAGGAACTATAAGTAAAGAGAGATCTGAACTATAAGTAAACTATACCTAGTTGAAAATCAGCTATATTTTTTTCAGAGTGAGGCATGGTAATATTTCATGCTTAAAAGTTCCCAATAGCTTCTGATTCCATTAATACAGGATGCTCCATCATGATTTGCAATGTGAGAACAAAAATAATGTGTGGCCATATTCTCTTTAATCTTTCATTTCACAAACATGGTTTTTCCTACCACCTTAAGAAATGGGGAGGCTGCTAGGGAGAATGGAATGTAACCTGAGCTACAGCCTGACATTCCCAGGGAGCATTTTTCACATGAAAGGCTTTTGTCAACCCAGGAAAGGACCTGCAGTTTTTGTTTGATGTTTGCAGGTGTTCAGCAGAAAGCAGTAAAACAATTCAGCCATGATGGTCCAGAGCCTCCATGACCTTCACAGGGAGAATTGGTGGGCTCTGGAATTATTTTCACAAAATAGTTATTACCTGTATGATAATTTATACAAAGGGATTTGATATCCGTTATATCATTGATCTTAAAGCCAACAAAAAGCATCCATATGCCTGCATGATTGGAGAATTGTTCTCATTAAAAAGTAGGATGACAGAGTTACCAAAAGAAAAGAAAAAAAAAAAGTTGCTGAAGTGTTCATAATTTTTGATCGGGAGAGGCTTAATTTTCTGATATGAAAACTATGTCTATTTTATTTGGTCACATTCGAGTCCTGTGAGTACAAGATAAACATACTATCTCATTGGCATCTTTTTTAAAAGTAGTTTTAAAGTTGGGCCTAAAATTATGTATACTAAAGAACTTATTGGTCTGATGTGGTCACATGTATTTCTGACTGGTCTATGATAGATCCTTCATCTTCCTCCCTTTGTTTAGAAGTTGATCTTTAAGCAGGCTTATAGCTCTTTGGTTTTACTTAGGTGGTCAGCAGTTGTTAAAGCCTGCTCAACAAACTGGTGTTTGAATGATTAAGAGCAGTGGTGAAACATCTCACTCAAGAGAAAAAAAAAATTTCTTGGCATTCATATAAGTTAGCTAACTTTTATCTGCACGACAACAAAGAATGTCAATTAAGTAAATTCAGTGAGGGGAAAATAATGAGTAAATAATTTTATCTGATAGAGAAAATTCAAGTGGTCAATATCCTTAAATCATTTCATCAGTATCAATTTGAGTTTATGGTGAAAAAATTGGTCTACCCTTGAGAGTATTTGTTGAGGACAGCTAGTGGCTATCCCTGTGTGTGTGTGTGTACCACTGAACATGTCATAGTGGTCATGTAACTTTTTGTAAAGGGCACAGCAATTTAATAGATTTTTTTTTTTTAAAAAAATACAGTGTTATCAGACACTCATTGTCATAGAGCCACAGAATTTGGAGGATGAAAAACCCAGAAATACACTGCCCACAACCTTCAGTGTTTAGCCAAAGAAAGCTGAAGCCCAAGTTAGGGAACTTCTAGACTGTGCCATTGTTATTCTAGAAAACTACTTTGGGTTTGCTAGTTTTTTTTGGCCCTGCAAACCATTTATTGGATATAGCATTGGCTTTACCATTGTTTTCCTGTCATTTAACCTGCATAATAGGCTAGTAGGATTTGGGTGGTGATATTTGTCCCTGTAAGTGCTTCTGTATGTTCGTGGGCCCTCTGTATGCTATTCTCAGGTTTGGAGCAGAATTTTGGATTATAGATCATTCCCTTTTGCCTGGTCTCACCTAAGCCTGTTTGCAAGAGGTTGGGTAAAATAGCTCAGTGTGAGTGAGTAGTACACTGACAAAATTGAAGTGCTCCTTAATGAACCAGGTGGTGTGCTCTACACTGTGTGTGTATTGTATTTTTAATCTGCTTAAGAACCCAATAAGATGCCAGGGTCCCATGGATAGGCGAGGAAACTGAGATACAACTTGTTTCAAGGCAGCCAGTAATAAAATTAGGTTTTAACCTCAGGTGTGGCCAGCCCAAAGTCCTCAGTGCTTTCCATTCATACACATGTGCACAAGTGTGTAGGCAGACACTCAAGAGTGAGCTCAGTTTTTCAAGAGCAGATAGTTATAGAGTAGAATATTGAGGCTTGGCATGAAATGCTGTGGTCTTTACAGTAGAAAGCCATTTTTTAAAAAAACTTATTAAAGATAATGATATAAAGCATACCCAATACTTTTCCTGTCTTACTATCCAAATAAGCTACCCTTCTAATTCATTTTTGAAGGATTTCATTGTGACTTAGAATTAATAGAATTAATTCCTTCCTTCCTTCCTTTTTTCTTTTTGAGGTATTGGGGATGGAACCCAGGGCCTCACACATGCTCTCTGGGCTCTACCACTGAGGGACAGCCCCAGCCCTTATTTTATTTTGAAACAGAGTCTCCCTAAGTTGCCCAGGCTGGCCTCAAACTTGCAGTCTGAAATCATCTTCTGTCAAACTCCTGAGCAGCTGGGATTACAGGTGTATGTCACCATGTCTGGCTGATTTAGTATACTTTTCTCATGTTATTATTTTTTTTTTACAAAGAAAGT